CAGGTGCTGGGATTACAGGTTCAGGGCACCATGTGGACACTTTAGTTTGGGCAAAGCAGGATCCAAGCTGTGCACACCCACAGGAGGGAGGGTGCTGGGATTCAGGAAGGGAGCTAGCTTTCCCTCTGAGTACCTCCACAGCACACTCTTGAAAGAGGACCCGTAGTTAAAACCCCCACCTCCCCACTTGGCTACTGCCCCTGGTTGTGCGAGACAAGACCATGAAAGGAAGCTTCGGGTTTTTTGTTTTTGTTTTTTCTTTTTTCTTTCCTGAGCAAGAAACTTGACCCTATTTCCAGGCGATTGACTTAAGAAGGCCTTCTGCAGTGGGACTGATAAATGGAAACACTCTTCTGAAAGCAGTAGATTAACAATATAACGACAGGCAAGGATGTTTCAGCCACCCCCCCAGCTCTAAGAGCACAGGCTTCTGAACGATGCTGTAAAGAACAGGAACACCTAAGTGCTCCAAGCCAGTTGAAACACTGCCTTCAGAAAAGGCCTTGTCTACAGCAGGTGAGTGTCCTACACCCGCTCTGGACAGCCTCTAGGCCATGCTGTGTCAGAGCAGGCCCAAAGTTCTGTGAAAGAGTACACACTTTGCCCCAACCACAGAGCACTGAGCTGTGGCCAGGACCTCTGGGGAAGTCACTGGCCGGTGTCCAAAGAGGAAGTAACTGCCTGGGTCTTGGGAGTTAACAACAACCAGCTTCATGCCTCGGGCAGAGAATACATATAGGGTGCTAAGTGAGGCCGCCACTTGTTCTGAAGGATTTGGGTCTTGGGATACAAAGTGTAGGTCCCACAGCATGGGAGCTGGGGCAATGCTTCTGTTCTGAGTGGGGTGGGAGCGACATAGGGGCACACTGCCACGGGCTAGAAGAATGCCCCCACTTGCTCCAAGGAAGAGAACAGAAAGCAGCCTGAGCCCAGGCTCCAGACCTGTCACAGAAGGGCCGCTGAGGCTGACTGGGCCAGCATAAGGCAGAGAGTCACAGCTGGAGTCTAGGGGAGAAGCTTGCTGTGCTAAAGGAAGAGGTGAGTTTGGTTTTTAGACAGGCAGGAGGGCTGGAGTGATAACTCCGAACATAAGGTGAGTTCAGTCCTCAGCACATAAAGTATAAAGGCTAGGCTGAATGACACTTGCTTCTAATCTCAGTACTGGGAAGGGAGAGACAGGTGGGTCCCAGGGCTCACTGGTCAGTCAGCCTGGCCCACTTGACCAACGAGAGGCCTGTCTCAAAACAAAACAATACAGAGAAACCCTGTCTCGAAAAACCGAAAAAAAAAATCAAAACAAAACAAACCCACAAGATGGTTAGTGCCTAAGGAATGATGCCTAAGGTTTCCTCTCTCTCTCTCTCTCTCTCTCTCTCTCTCTCTCTCTCTCTCTCTCTCTCTCTCTCTCTCTCTCTCTCTCTCTCTGTCTCACACACACACACACACACACAAATGCCACAAAGTTAAAATAAAAAGACAAGAAATCACTGTTGGGGGTCCCAGTCTGCAGAGGGATGTAGTTGGTGCATTTCCCAAAGGCCAGGCTTCACAATATGATGTCCTAGCGGAGGTGTTCCTGGGTATACCTTTGGACCCCGGTCGGCAGACCATACTCTTGTTGCTCTAGCCCTGTCCTCACTGCATAAGGTCAGTGGATGAGCCACAGAAGCCACCGACTCACACAGGTACCCACGCAGGACAGGTTTGTAGAATGCTTTCTGGGAAAATAATGTGCAGCTCCACTGAGGAGCAGTCCAAAATGGGCATCCAGCATCTCAAAAACACCAAGGTGATTTCATCAAGAACCTGGCAGAGGACCACCACAGAAAGAGCCACACTGTATCCCTGAAATGAAGCAGGCAAGCCACATTGGAACCCTGGCTTTAAGTCAAAGGCCCTTTCCAAACACGGGGATGGCAGGCAGAGGGGCCCCAGAAGAGGTCAGGCGTACACTTTCCAGACAGTGTGACCCCTGGACACAGTGCCGCCTCAGTGCTCACAGTCTCCCATGTGGGAAGGTGCTGGTGATGTTTAGGGAAGCTGGGTCTTACGTGTGTGCTCTTCCCACTGGCTGGGAAGGCTTCCTGAAGAAGAAGGGAGGCCAAGGCTGGGTAAAAATGGAGAGCTGGGCTCATGGGGCAGGGTTCACTGTGCCCTACTTGGGCTGGGGCACATGACTAGTTTTCTCTGAGGCAGCACATTTTCCATTCTAAAAATAGCCCACGGTGACCCAAGTCATCTTCCCCTCCCAAAGAGTCCCATGGCTCTGTGCTGTTGTTGTTTTCCCAGAATTTTTTGTGATTTCTGAAAGCAATGAACAATGAAATCATTGTGCTGTCAATGCCCATCCGATGATCCCCCAGACTCAACAACCTGAGGACCAATATTCAACCCTTTTTGAAAGAAGAACTTGAAGAACTTGCCCTGGGAGGTAAGGGAAGCTCCCTTTGACAACCCTCTTCAGTCACCTGCCTTCTCCCTCCATCCAGGGAAACAGGGGTGCCGTTCCATTAGGAAGGGTTGGCTGCCACCCCAACATGCCACTCACCCACCTCAGCCCCCCATGCACACAAGTTAACAGCAGGCCATGTGTATGAACCTGAAGTTTTGGGCCTCTGCCTAGGCCTGAGCTAGCTTCAGCTGGAGGACCTTTAAAGAGGACACTGGATTTCTGTCTCCCCTGAGAACCTCCCTACACCGATTTTGGTGGTATTTCTGGAAAGTTTAGGACACAATCTTTTTGAAGAGGCCCACCCATTGCTGGTCTGGTGACTCCTGAGATCCGAGTTCCTTGACTGCCTGTTTGCAAGCAAGGGACTATTTTTACACATCTGAGTGGGGCCCTACTAATTGCTGTACAAGCACTTCCAGGGAAGTTCAAGTTTCCCCTGAGGCCGACTGTTAACTCTAACAGTGCCAACAAGGCACTGGGAGTGGGGGTGGGGGAACTTGGTGATTTGCTTCTGAGAGACACAAAATGCACTAGCTTTCTCTAAAGTGTTAATGGCTGCAGACAGGACAGTCATATTAACTTAAACATGGCAAAGGGTGATCAGCGGGGGAGCCATGCGGGCAAGCGAAAGAAAAAGATGTAAAAAGGGGAAGATAGGAAAAAGCAAACCACAAGGACATACACCCTCCCCACCTCCCCTGCCCACCCCCACCCTCACACAGAGCATTATATGTACAGGCCACAGATTGGAGCGAGGTTAAATTTGGCTTGCAGGAATACTGGAAAGAAAGAAAACAGATCAAGTTACACAGAATCCTACTCAGATTGGGGCTCGGGCCTCAGCACACAATGCCTGGCTAAAGAGAACAAGGCCATGGTGTGTTGAGGAAAGCTCACACCCTCTCTCCTACCATCCAGCATGGCTTCCCTCCAGTTATCTGCTGGCCCCCCACTCCCCCCCACCCCCGCTGCAGGCTAATTCCCTGCTCTGCAGGTGGAGACAGATAAAACAAACCAAAATGCTGTAATGGACTGCAGGAAACCTTTCTTCCAGGACTTGATCAGCCTCCAGACAGGAAACATGCATGGGCTTTTCTCCGGACAGCAATCTGTTTTCTTAGGGTGCAGAGAGAGGCCTGGTGGCCAGGGTAAATACGGCAACCGGTGGCAGGGATTTTTGGCAGACTGAGTCGCACCGGAAGTTTGAAAAGACCGCTTCCTATACTCTGATCCCAACCAAAAGTGAGCTGTCAATCTTGCAGGATGGAGGTACTCCGGGAAAGCGCCAGCCAGCAGCCAGGAAAGAGCTGCTGCGAGGGGAAACCTGAGCCACAGGTGCGCGCCTGGAGTCCTCCCCGCTCCCTGCGGCTGCTTCGCCTGGCTAGAGTCCAGCCTCAGAAGCTGGATCCTACAAGTTCACTACCTGGGGCCAATCAGGGCTGCGGGGACAAAAAACACCTCCAGGGAGATTTGTCTTCTCTGTGGAACAGCTGGGCAGACTGGCTGGGAAAATCAAGTTGGCCAAGTGACCACTGCTTATAAAGCCAGCCATGAGATGATCATGTATGTTTTAAACAGTAGAGGTCAGACCCTGTTCCTCCGGCAGACACTCAGGATGCAACATGGAGAGGAGAGGAGAGGACCGCCAGTGCTTCCAGGGAGGGTGGCATGATGGTCCAAGAATACGCCCCATATTGCTGTGGCATGTGGGTCTTTTCAAAGCCATTCTATCTTATCCTGTTTGAGCGCCTCCTGACCCTAGGTGGGTCAGATAGGGAGAATATCTCATTCTCTTTGTACAGCGGAAGAAGATGCCTAAGTAGGGTTTCCCTTCACCTAGCTTCTGAACAGACACATCAGGTCAGGCTTGGTGGCACAGGGTCCTTATACCTGGGTGTACATCACAGTCACCAGCTTTCATTACCTGGTGCCACCAACTCTCCTAAGAATGTTGCCTTCAGGGGCTGGAGAGATGGCTCAGTGGTTAAGAGCACTGACTGTTCTTCCAGAGGTCCTGTGTTCAATTCCCAGCACCCACATGGCAGTTCATAACTGTCTGTAACTCTAGGATCCAACACCCTCACACATACATACAGGCGAGACAACAGTAAAATAAAAATTAGCTAATTAACAAAAAACAATGTTGCTCTTAGCCTGGCAATGGTGGCACATGCCTTTACTCCCAGCACTCAGGAAGCAGAGGCAGGTGGATTTCTGAGTTTGAGGCCAGCTTGGTCTACAGAGTGAGTTCTAGGACAGCCAAGACAGAGAAACCTTGTCTTGGGGGGCTGGGTGCTGCCCTAGGGGCTGGAGGAGTAACTCAGCAGTTAAGAGCACTGGCTGCTGTTCCAGAGGACTCAGGTTCAATTCCCAGCACCCACATGACAGCTCACTACCGTCTGTAACTCCAGCTCTAGGGGACACAATGGCATCTTCTGGTCTCTGCAGGTACCAGGGATGCATGCAGCACACAGACATACATATAGGCAAAATAACTGTACACATAAAAATAAAATTCTAGAATTGAAAAGACAATAAAGAATCTTACCCTGACCTGGGCCTCAGCAGTGGAGGGAGCATCTAGTGTCCTTAATTCTCACCGGGCTCTGCAGTGGTGTGAACTAGCCTACTTTGGCAGCGTGGGGACAGTGCTCAGAGCATATGCAAGGCTGACTCAGTGAGAGATCCCATGCATTTCATCCCTTCTTCTGCCTGTGATGCTGTGGATCCAGAAACCTATGGAGAAAAAAGGGTCAAATGGAAGCTTTGTCTCCTACTATTCTACCTTGCTTTCTGTTGCTATGATAAAACACTGACAAAAACAACTGGGAGAGGAAAGGGTTTATTTGGCTTACAGATTATAGTCCACCATCAAGGGAAGCTAAGACAGGAACCAGGAGAGAGAAACAGAAACAGAGGCTTCAGGGAGGAATGCTGCTTGCTGGCTTACTCAGATACCTTGAATACCCCAGGGCCATCTCCCCAAGCATAATAGTACAGCCCACAATGGGTTAGGCCCACCCATTTCAAAATCAAGACAGTTCCCCACAGACATACCCTACAGGCAAATCTGAAGGAGGCAGTGCCTTGATTGATGTTCCTTCTTCCCAGATAAGTCTAGGTTTGTGTCAAGTTGACAAAAACTATGACATCTACCAAAGCTATGCATTCAAACCCAATCTCTAGCACTTTAGAATGTACCCTTATCTGGAAATTGTGATGCTATGGATATAATCAGTTAAGATGAAGTCACTGGAGTGGGTTGGAATCCAAAATCCCTACAGTCATTATTTAAAGGGAAACTTGGATACCAAGGCATATACTCAGGATACTATACAACAATGAAGACAGAGATCAGATGGTGCAGCTAACAGCTGCCAGCAACATTAACGGTATGAGCAAATTCACTCCCTTAGTCCATACCAGTCTTGGATTTCAGTATGTATTTCTATCCTGTGAGCCCTGGTTTGTGGCTGTCTTCATGGCAAGCTCCTGAAACCCCAGGTGCTAAGAGACTAGGCAGGAAAGGATTTCGGTCTGTAGTAAATGCTCATCCAAAGCCAGCGTCCAGTCCATGCCAAGCTCTGAAGACGTTTATTCTGTCGCCATGATGGGTCTCTGCTTCCTTGGGAGAGAAGGAGAGAAGTCTGGTCTTTCTCTCTTTCATCGCATCCCTATTTGTTTCTCAGCAGAATTCTTCTGAAGTGTCTCAGAAGTGAGAGTCGCAGCATGCACTTCCCCTTCAGGACGTAGACAGGCTCCCATGTGAACTGGGGGGCAGAGGAATACCTTTGTCCTCAGCAACTTAAGACCTGGCCGCTTGGTAACTTCCCTTTTATCCCAGTAGCTTTTCTAGAGAAGTCTGAAAACATATTCACATGACTACAGGACAAACCGCAGTCAGAAACTTCCTTAGGTGGGAATGAGGCTGCAGGATGTACCCACAGGCAGGCTTGTGTGGGGGCCCCAACCCCGACAACACACTCACACACTCATACACACACTCACACACTCACTCATACACTCACACACACACTCACACACACACACACACTCATACACACACTCATACTATGAAACTTCTCCCACATGGTGGGAGTGCCCTCCCCATACCAGCACCCTGTGCAGTGTTGGTCAAGCCTCAACCTCCCCAGGGCAGTGTGGGACTTCATTTCTGTTCTTTGAAGCCCAGTGACAATACCATCCTCTTGACTTGAGCAAACTTTACATCACATGCTACCAGCCTTAGGACTTGGGCAGCCTCTCCAGACACAGGAGGTCCTGGGACTTCAGCATACCTGGCATGGAGTGCCATTCTTTCTGTTTTTCCTGTACCCTAAATCTACCCCTAGTTCTGTGGTTTCCTTCTAAACTCTCTTTCTTCCTTGCCTTTATCCCAAAGTCTTTATTGTTTACACAAGTCCAGAATTATTTTCCTTCAGTAAGCATTACTTAATGTATCAGTTTGGGATATATTTCTTTCCTCAATAGAGACACTCGCTCGTCACAACAACGAGGAGATCCATCAGTGGATGAACGGCCCTTTAAACGTGGTATATGTTCATGGTGGGATACCATACAACAGTAAAGAAAATAATCGACAGGAAAATGAATGTATCTTGAATGTATAACACTAAGTAAGGTAACCCAAAGTAAAAAAGACAAAAAAAAAAATACATGTTCTCCCTTAGATGTGGATCATAATCTATAATGTGTACGTACACGTGTTGTCCTTTTGTTTAAGATTGAAAACGGGGCCGGGCGGTGGTGGCACATGCCTTTAATCCCAGCACTCGGGAGGCAGAGGCAGGCGGATCTCTGTGAGTTCGAGGCCGGGCTGGACCGCTAGCCTCCAAAACAATACGGAGAAACCCCGTCTCGTAAAAACCAAAAAAAAAAAAAAAAAAAAAAAAAAAGATTGAAAACGGTACGCTAGATAGAACCAGAAATACGAGATACATTAACTACAGAGTTTATTCCAGGTGGGGGCGGGGGAGAGCGAGAGGGGGAGAGAAGAGGAGACAGCAAAGAGTGGAGTTAAACAAAAGAACAATATATATGTAAACAGGTTATGAGGCGGGTAGTCCAAAAGTCTAGGAGGCCAAAAGAGGGTAGTATTAGATGATAAGGAAGGATGAGTTGCTATGTATTCATTAAGTTTACACAAGCTAAAGTCACCGGAGAGGAGGGGACCTCAGCTGAGAGAGTGCCTATATGATATCAACCTGTCAGCAGACCTGTGGGGCATTTTCTTGATTGATGATTGATATGGGAGAGTCTAGCTCTCTGTGGGTTGTGCCGGATTTTGGAAGGTTCCTTCTATTGGTTTCTGAACATTTCAGTTCTACATTCACATGCTTTCAAGAGAGTCCAGACACCTCTGTTCAGTCAGTTCCACAGACATTCCCGGTAGGGGGCTGTGTGAGTTGTCCACCCCAACACCACAGATTGAGTGGTAGGGACACTGCTTCCTGCTCGGGCTCACAAATCCACATCAGCCGTAGTGACTTCCATGTAGAGTGCCGTGCAACTCTCAGAGATAAGTCTGCTTTCAAGCCCTGAAGAAGCTCAAAGCAAAACAATCTTCCTGGCACTGAAGCCAACCTCATTGTTTTCAAGTCGAACACATGTTTTACATCAAGAGGAGGGCTGTGGTCAGGGTAGGGGAGCTGAAGGGAGATTCAAAGGTTCCTCGGTTCTCATAGGTCTCAGCCTCTTCAAAGCTTCATCCCACTCGACAGGAGAGCTTCTGCCCACACTTGGGTGCTGTGGTGCATGCGTGGGGACCAGTCTGTGGGCCAGAGAGCAGATCACAGACACAGACAGCAACTGCCATGCACACACCTTTCCTGCAGGACATTTCCCTTCGGAGTTCACTAACTCCCTAAGTCATAGCTGAATGCATCGAGCCTCAATGAGATCCTGACTGTTCACAGGCCATGTTAAGCAATGCTGATGGGTGCAGATGGGCTCAAACTAGCAGGAGTGGGCAACTTCTACTAAGGGTCTATGCAACTATCAAGGGCAACAGATGATGGGGACATCTGCCTGTCTGTGAATTGGAGTGTAGCACATGTGCCATCACCAGGCTTCAGGATAATGCACAGGGAGACAGCTAGATGTCAAGGTATAGCCATTTGTATGATGGTGTTTCTGAAAGAAAGGAGCAGAGGGTGAGAGAGGAGGAGAGAAGAAATAACAGGAGAAAGAGTGGAGAGGAATTACCTTTAGTTACCTACCTATTTTAATTTTCCAGGAAAGTTGACAAAATAGTCTGGAAACTCTCCCTATACCTCACCCGCAGTTTCCCTGACTAGTATATTTGTCACTATCACTCACAATGTAGATTAAATGAGGTCTATGGTTTCCTGGGATTTCTACAGGTTTTGGTTTTTTGTATTTATTTATTTGTTTGTTTGTTTTTCCTAAATGTCAATCTCTTGGTACAGCATCCTATGTTTAGTTATCGCATCTGACTGATGCCCCTAGGCCATGACAATTTCTCAGACTTTTATTTTTGAAGCTTGTGGCCATTTTGAAAACTGTTAGATGGAGTTTTTGTTGTTGTTGTTTTGTTTGTTTTTATACAGTTAGGTGATAAAACCACAAAAGTGAAGTCCTTTCTTCAGCACACTATATAATACCTATTATCATGCCACCTCTCTTGACCGCCTGACTATGATGGAGCTTGTGGTACCTCTCCACTACGAGACTCCTCCCACTCTCAGGAAGGAAGTCATCATGCCCAGCCCCACTTACAGAGTGGGGAGTTATTCTACCTATGAGGGTGGGATGTCTATAAATTATTCGAAATTCTGTTGCAGCCTGAAGGTTTTTCTATTTTCTTCCATTAATTTAATTAGGTATGCCTGTATCTAGCTATCTAGCTCAGTGTGTGAAGTTGGGTGTGTTAATTTTGTACTTGAATTACTTAAACTATATACCACATAGTGCACAAGTTACTCTGTCCCTGGCTGCTGAAAAGGCCAATGGCTGTTGTGTGCCCTGACTCGTGTTGTTGCTTGTTTTTCTAAGCACTCTCTTTCCGGGACACTCAACCTGTTTGTTGTCTGCCTGTCCCGGGTCAGCTGTGGTATATGAAGTGGTGTTAAGGCTGGTATTGTAAACTAAAATCTGGATATCAGGGGCTGGAGCGGGGCTCAGTTGTTAAGAACACTGGTTGCTTTTGCAGAGGACTCAAGTTCAACTCATAGCACACACATTGCATCTCATAGTCATCTGTAACTCCAGTTCCAGGGGATCTGACACCCCTTTCTGGACTCTGAGGGCACTGAAGGCATGTGGTGCACGAAGTACACGCAGGCAAAACACCCACACACACAGTAAAAACGAAAACAAACAAAGAATCTGGAAATGAGGTGTGTTCTTTGTTATTGTAATAAGATTTTTTTCAGCCCCTGCCTCAGCTGACAGAATAAGGAAATACATGTGTCTATGCGAACTATCTGAATATTTTGTGTGTACCCATCTGTATCTGTAGGAAGCTAAAGTTGATTCCATGCTGATTTCTCTAACAGTCGATGGCTGCCATGTGAACAATCCCAGCCTCCTCCCTGTCTGCAATTCTCACTCTAACAGTGAGAAGTCTGACTCTTGTCCTTCACCGTCCAATCACTTCCCTGTTAGAATATTTAACTCATAGTCTCAGAATGTACACTCTCAAGGAAAACAATTATTTAAATTTTTATTTTTAAAATTGTATGTGCGTGGGTGTA